CTTTTAAGTTCACGCCCTTGGGACCACACTTTAACAATGTGCATTCAGATAATCAATTGTATCAAAGACTAGTTGATGTGGACTAAGTTCTGGCCGATCTTGAACGTAAGGTAATCTCATTGCGCCAAGTTCGCCATATAAACGTCTTTCATCATCAGGATCATCAGTAAAGTAATGAGTATAGACACGTCCACCGATACGATCTTGATATTCAAGAATAGTGATATCATCGATACCAGCTTTTTTCAAAAGAAGTGCCGAGAACAAGCCTTATAATGCACATATAGGATTAAATTCATTAAATGCATTCATAAATATATAATAGTAATATATTGATAAATAACATGCCAGCCATTCCCGCGCCAACAATGCATATTTCTAATAGAAACGAATGATATAGAATTAACATTTTTACAACCACATGGATAAATTATAAAAATGGAACATTTATATACTTGGATTTTCGTTTGGAGCATTTCGAGGGTTTACTTTTATATTGTCATCATTGATTCTAGATACAGATATAATCGATTAACATTAATAAACTCGCTTTAATAAATACACTCATATGCACGTACCTTTTATGATATTCATTGTAGTAATAATATCTTAAAAATGCTGAATGTTTGTCACCATCACTATCTGGCATCCTTTTTTGACGGGCCAATCTTTCTGTTCTGTGTCTTTCAATTGCTCGATCCACTTAATTTTAAATAAAAATATTTTGTTAAAGATAAATTGCCTTATCATGAAAATAAACAATACTACCTTCACCTTCTGCTTCTCTTTCCGATAAGAGTTGTGGGAAATGGAGGTAAAATTAATAAATTCAATACTTACGCACTGGCAATTATAGAAAAAATTGGAAAGAGTTTATTTTTAAAATAATTTTCGTTGATTAAGCCTAAATTTTTTATTAATTATTTTACACTTACATACTAGCAAATTAACAAAAAAATTTTTATTTTATCATTAAGTAAAAAAAGTTTTATAAACTGATAAAATTTTACTTACGAACTATAATATTTAAAGAACATGAATTTAATAAATTTTAAAAATTTGTTAGAGTAATTATTATTATTAAGGACTAGAAATTCGGATATTGGTTGTCATGCAGCAGCTAATTGGACGCAGTAAACGAGTGTTTAAAATTAAGGATATTTTTTTATTAATATACAAATTAATATTCTATTACGAATTTTTAATACTTTTATCCAGATTTAACATTTAGTTAAAAATATTTACTTTGTGCTGAAGCTGAAATAAGAATCAATGAAATAATCAAAACATAATAAAATTTAAGTATCATGTTGAGTGAACTTGTTAAAAGGTCAAACCCAATACAAAAATAATGGAAATAATTTTTACACTTTTTATATAATCTAAAGATGCAGTTGCTTTCTTATCGCCTGAACCTTTCTAAATACGTATTAATAATATGTTCCTGTATCGGTATGGTATTCCTTAATATGTCTAATTCATACAAATTTGCCTAATGCAGTCAACAGGGCATGTGCCGTCAAATGCAGTGTGCATTAAATTTTAGAAGAAAATTTAATGTAGTTTTTTTGGCTACTTCACTGACAGTCATTTCATCTGCAGCTCAATTAGCTATTACGTTAAGCGACGAACCCTATGTTATGTTAGCTTGTAAGCTGTCGGTGAAATGATTGTTAACAAAGTGTGTAGCACTTGTTAACCCTACTCAATTTTGTTGTATCGTTGTGGTCGTGTATGTGCCGGTTTTTTGCTATTTATGGCTTGCAGT